ATATGCTTCATTTCTAACAGAGATGGCTACCACCCTAATAGAGTGAAAGCTACCACATTAACGGCTTCCTATTTTGTGAAGCTAGTACACCATTTAGTAAACATGGAGAGGGCTACCCATGAGGACTGTGTGAAAGCTACCATTAGAGTAGGTGTGCACTTAATTTCTAATGGAGAGGGCTACCGCCCTTATAGTGTGAAAGCCGCTATACAAACGTCCTTTTAAAAAAGAAAAAACTTTTTATTGACATTGAGTTAGAGTTCACTCTATTTTACTTCTAGTGCAGAGGCTTGAATAAGACTAAATAGGACTTGATCAGTGTACTTGACTTATTGGGAATGCGTCGCCTCTCACAATTTTCATTCACCAAAACAAGCCCTATACCATACTAGTTACAGTAACTCTTAGCTTGTTGATTCATGAGTACTTATATTATTGATATGTTGTCATTGATCGATTCACATTTCAGTCTAGTTCATTGTTTAAATATGAAACCTGCAGTGAAAATGTGTTGTTCAGATGTTTGGATTGGAGAATTCTTTTATGGGGAGGAAGAGTTTCAATCAGGAATTTAATTTGATTTTATTTCACTACCCCTCTGATGATTTCCAAGCCTTAGAGTGGACAATGGGCAGAGGGGTAATACAAACCTATTAATTTGGGTTTATTTCCTTGTAGATATATATGCAGGTGAAATAGGTGCAGATCATCAAGCAAGCTCGCCAGGAAGCATATTAATTTGGACATGGTAATGTATATTTTGTTTGGCTGCTTTGTTTATTTGAATTTGTATTAATTAAGGTATGGTTAAATGATTAGGGGATTACTACTACCTACTGCTACATGCATGTCGTGTGTCAGTTCTAAGTTTAAGCTGCTGTATATTTACTGAATTTTTGTTGTATTATTCAGAATTTATGTTTATTCAATGTTCTCAATTTTTTTAATTTTTGTGTGGATGATCTTGAATGATTGTGCTTTTCTGTTTAGGTTGATATTTGTCGGAGTATACTGAACACTTCATCATTCTGGTTCAACAAATTTCTTTTATACTGTTGCATTTCCCCCTCCAGATTTCTTCCCTGCACTTTCAGTTTTTGGCAAAGTGCCGTTTGACAATTTGATATATCTTATGTCATATTTCTGATAATAATAATAAATTGATTTGTTGAACAGATAAAATGATGAAGGCCAGTAAAAATGTACTGGTTTTTGGTTTTTGGTTTTTGGTTTTTGGGTGATTTACTGTCTTGGTTTTTGGTTCAGTGTTTGGGTTGGGGTTACTGGTTGAAGTGCAATCTAACAAGTGTATGTCATTTCATTTTTTACTGTGTTTTATTATAAAAATAAAAATGTTCCAACATTACAGGTGATGTATAAAACATGTCTTCCAGGGGAGCCATAAATCTGAATGGCATGTAACTTATTGTTCTCTCTAGAAGAGTTTTAATTTTCACTAGTATCAATACTTCAGCTCCAAGTTAAAATCTGCTCCTATAAGAATGGATAATCTGGAAATCTCTACCGTGACAAATCGCTTATTGCTGTCAAAGCTGACCCTGATATCTGAGTGTCCCCCCTTCAAGTTTGCTCCCTTAGTAATGTTCAACGCATACCCTTCCAATCCATCAACCTTTTCCAACCCAATGATGGTAACTTTATCAATGATCCATTTTTGGCTTAAAGCAAATCCTCCATTGACAACCGTTGATCTTACAGATACACTTCCATTTCCTGTTCCACCATAAAATCTCACTAAACTCCACTTGCCTCCCTCTCCTCCCATTTCCACTTCCTCTCCATCATCCAAGAAAACTTCTCCGGTGCTCTGTCCACTGCTGCTAACAACCAAAAGTTCGAACGCAGTCTTTCGGGCTGCTTCTGTTGTCAAGGCCTTTCCTTGTAAGGCCAAAATGTTTCCTTCGCAGACATGTACATTGATATGATCAGGTGGTGCTTCCAGTGTAACGTGCTCTCCCGATTTTACGCTTACTGAGTTTGAGTAGTTGAAGAGATCAAACCAGTTTCCTGCAGGAAAATATGCATCAACTGAAATTACTCCTGGCTTCAACACAGGTGACACCATTACACCTCTGCCAATCAGAAACTGAGTGTTGATCTCATAAGTTCTGATATCTTGAGGAAATGAGAAGAAAAGGGGTCGTGCCATGGGGGTCCCCTTTTTATGTGCCTCATACATTGATGTGTAAAACAAGGGGAGCAACCGATAGCGCAGGCCAAGCACCTTCCTTGCAGTTGCCACCACCGAGTCCCAAAGATAGAGCTCTTGACGGATTGTAAACTTCTCTGAGTGATCTCTTGCAAAAGGGTAAAAGGCCCCTAGCTACATAGAGACATAGCATCGTTAAATTAGTTGCACATGTTCTGATGATTATAACTGACAGCATAGCAAAGTTCTAGGTAAAACAAGATGTATAATGTGATCTAGTTTTTGTGGAAGTGTTCAATTTGAAGGCTTATAAGTTACCTGAATCCACCGCCTGCAGAGTTCTTCATTTGTATCTCCTATGAATCCACATATATCAGCTCCAACCATCGGAACTCCAAAGAGGCCAAAATTCAGAATTGCTGGAATTGTGTATGCCAGATCACTCCATTCTGCAGCATTGTCTCCAGTCCAGTGTGCTGTATACGTACCAGAGCTTACAAAAGTGGATCTAGAAAGCATAAATGGTCTTTTACCAGTCACATTGACTAAGGCCTTGTTTGTTGCTTTGGATTCCAAGAGTCCATATAAGTTATGAGCATCATATTCTGTGATGTTACCGAAGTGTAGCGCTGATGCCGGAACAGTATTGTTATTGATGGGATGCAGGACCCCGGCATTGTTAATCTTGTAAGGCAGGTCATCAAGTGTAGAAGATGGAGTGGGAGGGGACGTGATGAAATTGGATGGCTCATTCATATCAAGCCAAAGACCATCGAAAGGCAGAGCATCTTGAAATATTTTTATCTCATTAGCCCAAAATTTTTCACTTTGTGGATGTGCAAAATCAGGGAAATAGACAGGGCCAGGCCAAACACTTCCCAGGTAAGGAATTCCGTCACGTTTTATAAATATATCTGCTTTCAGCCCTCTGTTGTAGGTTCCATAGCTCTCATTCACACTGATACCTGTGAGAGTCATATTGCTATCATTTTCTGCCTCATCAGACAAACTGCACGTAACATCAATTTTGCTGCAGAGAGAACATACCAGGGTCCAAGATGAGCACATATTTCTGATCATTTTGGTGAAGGGTGTTGACAAATTTCTTCATCTTATCCAATGGGAAGTTGATGGGATCAAGAGTAAAATCCTTGTATGCATCCATGTAATCAATGTCTGTCCACATAACTTCAAGGGGGATAGCGGCTTTTGCGTAGCCAGCAACCACACCCTCAAGATCGGAAACATTCTTGTAACCATATCGACACTGGTGGAATCCTTCAGCAGAGAATAAGTGAACAAAGTCAATGTGATTCCAAAATAAGATGAAAATTGCAAGCATACTATGCTAGTAGGAAGGACATTTTTGGACCATGCTAATATCAAACAAGGACTATATATGCACATTTCAATTGAAGAAAAAAAACTATTTGTACCATTTCAACTGGTCATGTGACTTAGCACCTGTCTACTAATAAGTGCCAATACAAAAACATGATTAGTTGAGATGGTACAAATGACATATACTCTTAGTCATAATAATTGATGTCACATGTGAAATGCGATTTGAGAAATGTGATAATATATAGTACCTACCTAAGAAAATTGGAATTTACAATATTTGAGTGCAAACGAACTTACCAAAAGACCAATAGGGCATAGGGGCAGGGCGACCAATGAGCTCTGTATACTGCTCCACCACCAACTCCGGAGTTGGCCCAGAAAAGAAATACAAATCCACAATTCCACCAATGGCCTTATAAGTAATTCTATCACCGCCGTATGTTATGTCCATGCCATTGCTATTCAGCAGCAACACTCCATGAGATGTTCCAGCGCCGTTGGCCTTGCCATCTGGAGAAGCTGACCTGACATCCAGGTAGAAGGGGTGGGACCCGTAGAGGTTGATGTCAGCATTGGCGCTGGCAATGTCAGCGTTCCAGAGTGTCAAGGTCTGATTGGGGGTGAGCTTGAAGGAGGACTTGGTGTGCTCGCCGAGGCCGAAAAGGGAGGACCTGGCTTCGGGGAGGGAGGAGGAGAGCTGGATGTATTGGTCCTTGAAGACCAAGAAGGTGTCGGGGTTTGATGGGTTTGGGGAGGCGTCGAAAATGACGTCGTTGGAGGATTGGCGGGTGACTGTGAAGCCGAATGGGGTGGTGTTGTGGAGAGTGAAGACAAGGTCGTTGGAGATCACGAGGTGTTTGTTGTGGGTTTGACTTTGTTGTGGATGCTGTGAAGTAGTTTGACGGGGGATTATTTGTTGTGGGATTTCCCATCTTTGGTGCTTTGAGTCTGTTATTCGAATTCTTAGCCGATCTTTGGTTTCACAGCTGCATGCATGATTTGCAGCACAAGGACCAATTAGATTTCTAACATAAACTTGTGAAAAACTTGTCTCCCATCCCTCAACAATTCCAATGAAAGGCAAAACCAGCTGGTTGGATTTTTCTCATCATAGAGTTTTCCCTCTCTTTGCTACGCCAACGAAGTCGCGCAACTGATTGGGAAATTCGGTTCCCACGAAAAGAAGAAAACAGAGCTGGAGGGCATAATGGCCAATTCACTGCCCATAAGTCAACTCAAGAAAGCAGACTATTACTTAAGCGGGGGCAAAAACGTAATTTCACTGTTCCTAGTGAACAATCTAGAAACAGTGATTCGGTGGATTCAGTTTTAGTATATATATAATTTGTATGGCTAATATTGTGAAGTGAAATGCTAATTGGAGTTTTGGTCAATAAGGGTCTTAGCTATATATTCTATATTATGGACGGTTGGGGATGTTTTGCAATATCCTAATCAAACGGCCAACCCCCAATGACTAATGAGAACTAAAAAAAATGAAAACGTGAGATTATGAACTAATCTAAGATTAATAAATTGAGAATGGTTAATTACGAAGTACCTGGCGTGAAGGTTGAGATTTGGGATGTCAGGTCCGTAGAGGGAGGATTTCTTGATGAGGCCAAGATTAGCAGTCAATGAGTTCCCAGAAGAATCATAGTTGACTGACTGAATTTTATATCCAAACCCAGCAACTGCAGCTTCTTTTGCCTCCTTGGTATTTGATGATGAAACTAAACCACAGTGAAAGACAGTTGACAAGAAGAAGAAGAAGAAGAGTGGAAGATGATATATTGGTTTTGGTTTGTTTGGTCTGTTTCTTTTCATCTTCATTTTCTCTGTTCCAGTGCTTGGGTTTTCCTCCTTTCTGTGAGGCGTGAGAGGACTTTTGTAATGCACTTTCCAATCTTGTATTGTAAATCGTATCATGTAGTGAATATATAGCTTTATATGTGAACCCCGCACACATGACTAGACCCTAAACCCTCAAAATTGGGGTCTTTTTGAGTTTTTTTGGGGTTTGGGTTCTTTCCAAATGGGTTTTTGGGGTTTTGGACTTAAAAATCTGTTTTTGAGTTTATAAAATTGAATCCAAGTAGGATACCAAACGGGCCCTTATGTTTTTAGGTATTTCTTGTCAAAATTTGGTGAATTTAATTTGATTAGAGGGATTGTGTTGTGCGAAGGACTACCAAGAATGACTCATGTTGGTCCCAACAATGCTTCTCAGGGTGCGATTAGTGACTATGATTTGTTGTTAATATGGTAGACTCAACACTCATATGCGATTAGTGACTATGATCCGTTGATGCATCCTAATAATAATAAAAAGTTAAAGAGTCTCATATGTTATATCATACGACCCCGACTCTTGACAATGTATTCTAATGAGTAGTAACATGTCAAATGCATGCTAAAGTATTGTAGATACAAGCCTAGCGATTTTGAATTTTCAAGAATTGGAAATGCTTACAGGAAAATACCAAAACTGTGAACTTTTTATATCCTTGAATCCTTGATTTTGCTGAAAATGAAAAGAGAGAAGTGCTTGTGTTAATTCAATTGTATAGAGACTACTGTATTTTGTCTTCTTCTTTTTTGTGTCCAAAATCTACGACAGAAGTTGCAACCGATTGGATTCAACTCTATTCCATTAGAAATTTTTTATTTAAAAAATATATAAATAATGTGGTCCATATCCATACTCCATACAAAGAAAAAGAAGGGGATGGCTTTTTATTTTCCACAGTAAATAGTTGAAAGTGACAACCAATGAATTTCCCAGAAGCCAACTTTTTTCTATTTCTTGCAATACATGTTTTGGAAATTTGGAAGCATGACTTGTGTAGGTCAATGCTAATTTTCTTTTCAAGTGAGACATGCTAATAAAGTGGATGCAAATCTAGCGATTTTGAATTTTCAAGAATAATGATGGAGAAGAATAATTTTCTTCCACCACGTGATGGAGAAGTCTTGCTCTTCTTTCACGTTCTTTGCAGGTTAAAGTGATGATAAGAAAAAATGCTTGCAAACTTGTAGAACGCGTTGGTTAATGTTCTCTAGTAAAATAACCATTGACTTGTAGAACCCCAACCATCGACTTGCAACCTTGTAGAAGACGTTCAGATAAATTTTTAGTATTCCAAAAAATGGATTTTTGCCTCCAAACTCTAAATCCAAATCTCAAACCAAAAATCCTAGCTTTCGAACTTGTTCCAAAACTGTTATCAAGTCTTGAACCCTAACTGGACCTCAGGGTTCGATCTTAATATAGGGTTAGTACGACGTAATTGGACATAATCCCAATTCGTTTAGTGTGCCTTGAGGTAAATTTTAACAAGTGGTTTGTTGTTGGATTCCCGACAAAATTTTGGAGGAAAAGATTGCAACACATATTCGCCAGAATAGGACTATCACGTCAAAGTTCATCGGGATAGAAAAAGTTCGCTGGAGTAGGTCTATCTCGACAAAATTCACTGAGATATTTCTATTCTGACGAAAATTCATTGAGACAGGTCAAGGTTATGTCTGATTACGTCGTACAAACCCAAGATTGAGATCGAAACCTTAATCATAAAGTTCTAGGTAGAGTTACATGAGTATTTGAGCCTAATCAAGTCCTAAGTGCTCTAACACAAATTAAGGCCACGATAAAAGTTTAGCATGCTAGAAAATGGGTTTAGAACTCGCCTACCCTCGTACTATCATAATCACTTAGAAATGTAAACAAGAAAAAACCTTCGCCGACTCTCTAGTTACAGGAAAGTTTCCCAGCCGAAATGCTATTCTCAGATTTGCACAGGCCTTCAGTTGAAACAGCTCAACTCCTGCTGGTTTCAGAACTTGCAGGCAAGAATGTTGTTTTATTTTGCCAGCAAAAGGTGTAACAAACAGGCCCTTAGGGACTTAGGGTCTATCAGATTTTTTTGTAGTTTTCGTAAGAACTGTCAATCCTTTTTTTCTATTTTCTTTTTTGAAATCTCTCATTCCAAATGGAGTTTCTCTAAATAGGAACATAGGCCAAGCCCAAAACATGCCATATAGGATAGGATAAGCAAAGGCCATCACCAGAAGAGGAAACACTCAACAAAATTCTTAGAGGGAGGCCCTCAAAAAGTCTTGCTTTGTCTTTCAAAATGTTTAGTTGGTTGTCCCAACACCACTTTGGGACGGATTTGCGCAGATGGGTTTAACTTTTGACTCCTTCATCTGTTAAAAAAACACTGACACATGACAAATTTTGAGTGGAAGTATTATCAATCGTATGATAACTGTATTAAAATTAATAAAACTTCTGAAAATAATTACAAAAATAAAGAGAATATCACAAAATAATTATAATTAATGCCGATTTGGAAATACGTAAATATCAACAAAACTATGGATATCTTTAAAAATTAGTTTTGATATGGTGAGAATAAATATCATAAGAGTATCGATCGTTATTGTATCCAATATAGTAATATCATGATTGTTTTTGGTCCTGAATATCATGATGGCAAGTAGTGGAACATTCCTAAGCAAAAAAACATTAATAATGAACATTGGAGCTGAATATAGTAGATATAAAATATGTGTATTGACCAAAAGGAAAAGACATAAAATATGTGTAGCTCGGTGCAAAAGTGAATCACCTTGAGGAAGGGCAAAATAGTCAAAACGAATTGTAACGGCTAGTTGGAAAATTGCCGTTGGATTATGCTACGAGGGAGCCGGGAACAAAATGCACGCTCTCCTATAAACAAGATTCAGAAGATTTTGCCCCACTGGTTTGGACTTTGGTGTCTAACTCTCTCTGCTCTCAAGTTCTCAACTTCAGTGGTCACCATGAACATCTTCAAGAAGAAGACCTCCCCCAAAGGTTTCATCTTTTCCCTCTCTCTCTCTCTCTCTCTCTAGGGTTTCATTATTTCTTCCCCATTAGGGGTTTTCTATTTTCACTGTGTTTGGTGGTTGAGGAATTGTTGAACTAGAAATGGGTTTTTCATTGTTCAGGGTTTACTTAGATGAGCCTGTACATCTACTTTTAGAGTTCATTTAACTCTTTCTTTTGTTCATTACTATTTTCAGAATTTTAAGTTGGTTTACCGAACCACCAAATGTTTGGGGGTTCTTTCTTGTTTTTTATTCTCAGACTTGATTGTGTGGATTTTCTAGTTTTTTTTCAGCTTTTCTTTTTGTTGTCTGTTTGACAAAAGTTGTGAATGACTTTGATAAGTTTGTTGTCTAATTGAACAGAGGCTCTGAGGACAAGCAAAAGAGAAATGGGTGTTGCTACCAGAGGTATGTGTATGCTCTAGAGCGTCAGGATGAAATTTTGAAAGAAGATCTTCTGTTTATCTTGTTTGAATATGCTTCAAAATGGCTGATCCCTACTAGAGATGTGCATATTTGTATTCTGCTTGTTTTTGGCTTATGGTTCTTTGCTTTAGGCATTTCTTATCTTCTTTACCTTTGAAAATTGAATAAAAAGGAAAAAAAGATGCTATCAATTGTCTTAGTTTTCATGCTTTCTTATGGGTTGCTATACTTAACAATTTTTTCAATCAAAAAGTTCCACACTTGGTCTGCGTATTTCAGCTAAAATTATATTGCAACTCTTTGGTTGGAGGCGTCAAATTGCAACTACAATACTTGGTGCTTTAACTTTTCTTTTTCTCTCCCACTTCCCTTTTTCTTTTACAGGTATTGAACGTGAGATCGCATCTCTTCAATTGGAGGTATATGCTAAAGTTACCCTAAATCTTCTGATTGATTATTTTTCCAGATTCTTCCCTCAGTGTCTTTTATTGTTTCTGCATTTCAGGAAAAGAAATTGGTGGCGGAGATCAAGAAAACGGCTAAAACTGGAAATGAGGCAAGCTTACTATTCTGTTTAAGTTGTTCTCTCCTCGTAATAGTTAATGCGCACATTAAATACATTAAGGGGATAACATATTGTTTTGCAGCTTTTAAGACTTTAACAGTTTATGTGCAGCTCAGCTTTTCTGCTTAATATGATTTGGATGTGTTGGTATTACCATGTTTATTGAATTTATTTTCCTTTATTTCAACCACTTAATTGTTACTCTTGGGGAAAATGAAACTTTTCATTCTTTGGTGCCATGACATTCCAATTATTAGTGGTCTAGGAATGATGCAAGCTGGTTACTGCACCACAGGTATAGCTAACTGATTCAGAAATGAATGTAGATTGATGCAGGAGGAACCATCTGAAACTATATATAGTCTTTCATCAACTGTAAATGAATAAAAGAACACATAACAAAGAAAACATAAAAGGAGGGCTCCAGCAATCGTAAGTGCCAAGTGAATGCTACTTCAGATATTATGAAATATAAGAGAAAAATAACCTACTTAAATTTGCCCCATTACTGATAGGTTACCAAACTGACATGACTTGTTTTGCAATGTTTTTGAAATTTAACAAACTGTAAGTGCCAAGTGCATGCTACTTCAGATATTATGAAATATAAGAGAAAAATAAGCTACTTAAATTTGCCCCATTACTGATTACCAAACTGACATAACTTGTTTTGCAATGTTTTTGAAATTTAACAAACTATAAGATGATGCTCCTTTATACAAACTGAGACCGCATATCTGTAAACTCCATATATAGAAATTATTTAAGCGGGATGAAACTTTTGTATGTGTAGATGGATGATATGTACAAGTATGACCAAACCCTGTCAATCATGCCTTATATGTCTTATCCAGGCTGCCACCAAAATCCTGGCTCGTCAACTCGTTAGGCTACGCCAACAAATTACTAACTTGCAAGGAAGTCGTGCCCAAATAAGAGGTGTAGCTACCCATACACAGGTCACCATTTTATGCTTTAAATTTGGTTGAAAGATTTTGATATATATATATTGATTTACTTTTAATATGTTTGCAGGCATTATACGCGAGCACTTCTATTTCCACAGGCATGAAAGGTGCAACTAAAGCAATGGTGGCAATGAAC